TTATTTGAACAGATTATGTAGAGAACACTGAACACATAATTAAGCACTGTTGAATCAAGGTGATGTGCACATCTAATTGCCCTCTCACCGCTTCACTGTGCTTGTGCACAGTCCTCTAATTTCATTTATAGAGATGGGAGGGTGGGAGAAAATCAGTTTCACCAGGTGGTTCAGGACACAGAACACATTTAAAATTAAAATGAAATGGAACAATCTGAAATAAAAAGACTGAGATAGCCCAGCCAAGGAATCTGTACTCCCAACCACAAAAACCTGTTATTGCTCATGTGGCCTAATTTAAGTGCATTCCTTTCAGCTTTCTTAAAATGCAGCTTCTCCAAATACACTAACCCCATCCAGCACAATCCATTTACTTGCTTTCATGAATGTTGCACAAGCTGTTACTCAGCTTTGCTAGCAAAGAAAAGCCCAAAATCTGAGCATTTTCTTACAGCTGCAGGTACAACCGAGTTTACTCAGAGCAGGAGAAGCAGCGATCCTGACTGGAACACAGATTGCAGCTTTGCAGAGCTCTGTATTTCATAACAAAGCCGTGCAAGGACCAACCCAGCTCAGCTCCAACCTACTGCAGGGCATGAGAATAAACTGCTAAACTCAGGTATTGCCAACACCTGAATTATGCAAGTCTTGCAGGTCTGGGTGTCTGTCTTCAGCAGAATCAAAAATTTGCAAATAAATTTCTCTTTTCATTTAAAAACTTAAAGCAATTTCTGTCTTCTCTTCCTTAAACCTCATGATGACCAAGAAAATGTTAAAAAAATTTAGTAGATGCACCCCCAAGGCTCAAAACCTGGGGGAGAATAAGAACCTGTTTGTCTTTTAAGAAGTGTCTCATGACTTATAAGGTGGTATCTTGCTTATGGGGATGGGTGGATCCGATTCATTTTTTGATAGCTCGTGTTTGGCAGTAATGTTAACTTTTATTTACCTTGACATACAACTTTAATTTTTACTTTCCTACTGCAGTCGTGTTCTTCCCCATGTAACAGGTTCTGCTAGTGGCAGGTGATTGCCAAATCTTTTTTTAGGGGGAAAAGCCAGTGCACAGTTGCTTATTTATTTATTTGCACTCAGAGTGGGTGGGGAAGATCGGCACACAACTTACTTGAACAAAGGAAAGAAATCTGAGGAACAAACTTTTGAAATGCTTTGGTTTTCTTCTGCTGCAGAAACAGGAGAAGATATTGCAAGGCACGGGAATATGGGTATCCACAGAGGAAATATCCCACAATAAATGAGACACAGTTCTGCCTAAGGTTTTACTTCACCTAATTCATAGAGCTTCTCGCTCAACCTCAACAACCTACTCTCTATCTCAGTATTACAAACGATAATGGCTCTTTCCTTCACAGATTTTCAAGAAGGTTTTATTGTACTATGAAAGAAACTTGTGAGAAACTTTGTTCAATTTAGCCTATTAAGGCTTTTGTTTCTAAACACTTCAGTAAAGTTTCAATTGTTAAAGATTTTCCTTCTGAAAAGACTGATTAACCTGCTTATATTCTTGTGTTCCCAGGTCATTAATTAAAAAAAAAAAAGATAATCAAGGATGCTTATAAAGTCCTCTGCAATCCAATCTCAATTTGTCATCATTAATTAGTTCAACATTGCATACAAATGAAGATCTAACTTGATTAGACAGCATGTTTTACTGGAATTCCTACTTAAGGTCATGGAAGACTTCAGAGAGAAAATTTGTAATATTATCAAAGTGAGCTGCTCATACATATGAAATCACTCTCTCACCTAACTGCAGCTAGTGTTTCCCTCTGCAGTTTTTGGCCATTTCCCCCCCCCACTAATCCCTAGTTAGGAGCCCATTACAAACCTGAGCAGAGAAGCAATCCTGATGTTACACTCATCTCCCTCAGCCTATCCTATACAAATACTGCTGACTTGGCAAAGGGTGCCTGTTGTCCTGGGACAATAAATCTGCCCCATAGAAGGAGTCTGCAGAACTTGGAGGGGAGTTAGGGAAAACAAATATTTCAGGACAATTTTTGGAGACATAGCATGTACTCAGTGAGTATCCTGTCTGTTTTCCCCATCTCCAAAAGAAGCAGCCTTGGGATCTACACATGATTCCAGATTACCACCTCCAAAGCACACAGATCAGGAGCTAAATAGCTAAATGCACAAACTAGCTGAGAAATTTGAAGCATCTTCACAGGTCTCTAATCCTCCCATGAAAGCAGCTCTTGCTTTTTAGAGAAATAAACCAGCCCTTTTACCAAGCCCACAACCTTCACTCCCATGACCTAATCTGACATGACTCAGCCCAGAAGCTCAGAGGAGCTCCAGTGAAGCATGCTGTCAGCCAGGGCAGTAGATGCCCTGACAGTCACCACCAAACCTTCCCAGCGTGGCGAAGTCAGTCTGCCTGGCTCATCCTCTCCCAAAAAGGGAAAAATACAATACAATGGATTCCTTTACTTAATACTGTTACCCTGGGGAATGGCAAGAGGGATTAAAAAAAAAAAGAGCCAAGAAACAAGGCTTTCAAGTTTTGGACTCTTAATAAGGGTGGGGCCATCAAGTAATTAAACTTTTAATAGGTCACTGCAATGGAAGAAACTCTTCCAGTTGGGTAAGTTCCTAATCCATCATTAAAAAAAGACGACAGGCATTAATCAAAGCATATGAAGTCACATGGGGGGGATGAGCAACTCTGAGAACTTGCTGTTGCCGAGAGGATGGGGAAATCACTCCTCCTTTCATCAACATTTCATGCATGTTTCCACATTTCTCAGGACGGCAGCGGGAAAGAGAGCCTTCACGTCCTTCCCCACCCACCCCACTGATAAAGCTGTCGAACGCATATTACCAACTGCTCAAGAGCCCATGTGAAATGAGTTGGTGGATTAATAAGCAGAAGGGCAGAGCTCTGAAGAGAGAAAGATGCTCTACTGTGAAAGGCGTATTGATTGAAGGTCCCCAGCCACCACCACAAGACTGTCATCATCCACTGCCAACATATAGCACACTACCAGCTCCTGCATGAGCAGCTAAATCTAGGTCACTTAGCTCACTGCAGGGACACCTGGACCATACTCACTCATCCCTAATCAGACAGCTGTTTGGGAGTCCATTCCTTTAGTAAAATACACAAATTTAAACCTAGACAGACTGCAACAGGCACAGGGAGCACACTATCTGCTTGTAGCATGGTCCAAATCAGAAAAGGAGGGGAAGCAAAATGTGTTTTCCCCCAGGTTGCACATGTTTGGCAACTGTAGTCACCAAGGAGCCATTTTATTTATTTTTCAAAGACAGCATGTAATCTGATCTTTGACTACTACCTCTATCCCAGAAAACCATTATCACTGCAGTGAAACATCTGAAGTGCTTGCTTAACTTTAAGCCTGCAAGTAGTTCACTTGTCTTCAACTTCACTGGAACAGCCTACTACATACGTTCAAACCTCATTTCAAAAGACCGCTTTTAGTAGTTGAAAGGACAGCATCAAAAGCTCTGGTTCCCTGCAGCTGCGTTAGACAATTCTTTGTACCATATGCATCAAAAGAGAACAACTTTTCATATTTCCTTCAAAGGGCCTTCAGAACAGCCTGCAAAAATCCCAGGGCGGCATTTTCTTGCTCTGAGAAACAGCAAGTAGAGCTGACCAACATTTTCCTTACCTAAAGGTAAGTGAAAATACAGCATACAGTGCAAGGGGAGAAACCTGGACATGAAAAGAAGTGTGGACTATAGCGGGGTATCACTGCCAGTACAGATAACGAAAACATATCATTTTAATCTCGCTTAAAAATGTTTCACCATTTGACATGTAAACAAACAAAAAAATTAGGTCTTGAGCAGACCTATCAAATTTTAGCCCCATTTAACACAATTTTCTGAACAAAGTTATTGTTACCAATTTTAGATAAATTTTACCAGAAAAGGCTTTTAAAGTATGCATAACTTGGTGATTTATTATTATGTGGCAGATTGGAGCACATGGGCTAGCTTATTTGCTAGTTGCAATACCAGCTAGCTTGTCTTTAAATTTGAGCTGAAAGTAGTTCCTCAGTTTAAAAAAAGAAAGAAAAAAAAAAATTAATGTCTTAGCTTTTGGTAGGAAGTGTATCTTTTCTGTTTAATAAAGTCTCTGAGTCCCTGCTTTTACTTAGGTGGCACAGGGTAAGACATTATTCACTGCACCTACTTCAAACACCTGAAGGAGAGGAAGGCAAATATTGAACATTTTTAAGACAGCAATATTCTCCATCACAAACATCTCTAGACTAGAGCCATGAACTGCAAGAGCATGTTTGGCTCCAGACACACTATGTCCTGGGGTGTGAAGTTTCTAGAGCTGGAACAACCAAGCTGGCTCCACCAAAAATCAGGAGCTGGGCTCCACACTTTTTTTTCGTAAGAAAGGTACTATTCTGACAGCAAGAGCAAAGCATTAAGAAAGAAATAAACATATATGCAAATAACCCAAATACCACAAGGCTGAGCAAACCTCAGCAAAGCTCACAGGGGCTCCTGCACCAGCTGCAAGAGGGAAGGATGTGGAGAAAAAGCCCTGCACTCCATGGGTCGGAGTAAGGAGCACCACCTCCATCTTTGCGGCACAGCCCACACACCCAACCTCATGCAAATCCATGGATGCTGAAGAAATCCAAGGCAAGTGCTGAAGCCATGCTTATGCCTACCTCATGTTTTACTCAGGCATACTTCCTAGACCCAAAAGGAGAGCCACTGTTTCATCACACATGGACTTTATGTGACTGTCATTTTGCAAGGCATTTTATTCACCTGGGATTTAGTGTTATTATTAAGGGTTAAATTCCCACCACACCCTCCCTGAGCAGCCAAGATAAATCTCTCTCTTGTGTGTGACATGTCATGCACTGAAGAGGACACAGGTCACTCTGTTCTTGCATAAGCCTGGCTATGTATCATATGAATAATGTCACCACTGGCATCGGAACTGAAGCCAGATAAGGAGCAAAGTGGTGCTACGTCCTTACCGTCCATGTTGCTGACTTTGCTGTGCTAGACTGTTGAAATGATACATCAAAGCTGTGAGGTCCTGGGTAGTCTGTGTTGGAAGGGATGGCTGGGGAAGGTGAGAGGGCATCAAAAGTCGAGCTGGGCTGGGCATAAGGCGAAGGGGCCGTGACGCTGTTCTGTGCATGCTCAGTGTTGTAGGGACTGGTGGAGGAAGAGCCGTTCTGGATCTGCTGGTCCATGCTGTTCAGGAGCCCCAGGTTCGTGTACTGCGGCTAGAGGCAAAGAGATACACAGGAATGTTACAGAAGAAACATTAGCACAGGCTGGCAAGCTACAGCATGGCCTTCACAATGCAGCATGCACAGCATAATCTCAGCACCACCATATATGATGTGTCACACTAACAGAAAGGAGATTTGCAAAGGATATACACCTTTTTACATTGCTGACTGAAACAGAAAAAGTACAGCTTCTCACAGTCACACAGTGGGTCAACAGCCAAACCGGGAAAAGAGCTTGCACATCACACGGATGTGATTCGCAGGGCAGCAAGTCATCTCAAGCAGATACAGTCCCTTTGTTTGGAAACACCCAGACTGAGAACTTTTTGGAGGGACCTGATAAAAATCACTGGTTCATTACAGTGCAACTGGCTCTAACTTGTACAAGGCTACATCTGACAGTCTTGCGCTCTACACAAAGATTGCTCCTCTTCTTGCGGATCTGGTCCTGCTATGCCCATAGACATTTAGGACCTCTGACTCGGGCAGTAACTGCACTGAATGCTCACTGGAGAAAAGGTTCATAGCACTTAACCAGATTGCACTATGCACTCCATTCCCAGTGACTGGTCACACAGTAGCAGGAAGGAACTAAAGGTCTCATCAAGTAGCATGGAAGCCCACAGCATGGAAGGCTTCCGCACATACTTCAGAAGTAGCAGTTCCACTGTGTGTGTCACATAAACGAGCAGATATGGTTGTGCCCCAAAAGTAGCCTTCAGGTACAAAGAACATATGAAACAACTGAAGACATCAAAAACAAAGGCTAGGGAATACAGCACAGAAAAGCAAAGGATAGATTAGGGAGAGGTTAGCAGAAAAACAACATGCCTAATGCCCTCAGTTCTATATGTAGCCTTGGTCCCCCACCTCAAAGAGATGAAGAGGGAGCAAAGTTCAGAAAAAGGTGGCAAGAATCAGCAAACCCCTTTAATGCCTTCCTGTAATACAGCAGTAGATTATGACTTTTCAGCCTGGAAAAGACAATTAAATGAGAGGTAGAACTTTATATGACAGAAGTGAATAAATTTATAAATTATATGGGAAAAGGCAAATAGGAAATTCATTTTCATGATCTCCTAATAGAGGAGTTAGAGAACACGGAGACATCCTGAGCAGGATTTTGATTAAAACACACACAGAGTTGTTCCTCACAAAGCCCACAAATAAACATGCATTTCCTGCCACAAAATGCTGCGGATACTAAGTCTACATACGTTCAAAAAGGCATTAGACAAGTTTTGCTTGAGAAAAATCTATCAAGTCAAGCATATCTGATTTTAAAATTCTGAACCACAAACAGCTGGAAGCTGGGAAAGTTCTCTGGGGAAAGAAAGTTACACAATTACCCTGCTTTTAGGCCTCCTAAGTACCAGGCACTAGCCACTAAGACAGGGCCGCAGGAGAGCAGTACACATGGAGTTCAGCCAGGTACACTAGTCTCATTCTTGTGTGTGCCAAAGGGTGTAGTTTGTGCCCAGCTCAGGGAGAACAGCATCCAAAAGTTTGTGGTATCCATCCCCAACTGCTCTGGGATCAATCAGAAACACACAGCACTAAAACCTGGTTCTGCTGTTGGCTGCTGACATGGCAGAAGGGGCTCTGGTTCTTCCCCTTGCCTATGTACCTCATTTCCCCCCACATCCTACAGCTTCAATCCCACCCAGAGCCATCAAGCTCACATGTATCTTAGTATTTCAGTCAGTTTCTCCTACTTCCCTCTTCTTTCCAACAGTTGCTTCATTTCCAGAGACAACTTGATATTATCAGCCAAGCAGCAAAGGTTTCTTGAGTCAGAGCACCAACCGCAAGACTTGTAACAAAAAGCTTTCCCAATACTGGGATTCCCACCAGCCCTGTGGAAGCTTTGAGAAGCACACCATCACTCTTCCATGGCCCTGAAAAGAAATGGCAGAAGTGATAGGACAAGGGGTAAGGAGTTAAAACTTAAACGGGAAGTTTAGATTGGATATAAGAAGGAAATTCTTTCCTGTTAGGGTGGTGAGGCACTGGAATAGGTTGCCCAGGGAAGTTGTGAATGCTCCATCCCTGGCAATGTTCAAGACCAGGTTGGACAAGGCCTTGGGTGATATGATTTAGCGTAAGGTGTCCCTGCCCACGGCAGGGGGGTTGGAACTAGATGATCTTAAGGTCCTTTCCAACCCTAACTATTCTATGATTCTATCATCTGAGCTCCCCAGGGACTTTGGACAAGCCATTTAACGCCCAGCTTTGTCAATCATTTCAGCCATGTAGGAAAACAGGCTGATCCCTGCGCAAGGATGAAGTACCCTTCTTATGCTCAAATACTTTGTGATCTCAGCTGTCCTTCCGCAAAAGAAGGAAGTAGAGAAATTTAAACTCCAACTAGAGCTCTTCCTTAGGTTACTGTCTGTTTCATTGGTAGAGGCTGATATTTTATGGAGTTTTATTTAAAATCTCAAGGTGAGGCTGGGGCTCTGTGATCTTCAGTGAAGCACATAGGACCTTCCAGAGATGGATCAGCTTGCTCCTATAAGCTGTGCCGAGAAGGAGGAGGTCAGGTGGGTAACAGCACAGGGGACTTCATTTTGGAACCTGGGATGGTCTGCAGAGAGAAGCAAGAGCTGGTTCCCTCCCTTGATCTGTCAGCAACAGGCTGTGTCCTTGGGCAAGCCACCTCACCTCCCTCTCCACCCTCTACCTACTTCAGGCAGCAAAGTCTGCAGGGCAAGGATTGCTCCTCACTATGTAAAAAGTGCCCTGCTTAATGGGCCTCTGTTTTGTCTGAGGCCTTTAGGCAGCAGAGCAATAAAAGCAATTACATATTGAGCCCTAATCCTGGGTGAACCAGTGACTGTGTGTTGCCTCAGGTTAGTCATTTGTCCTCCCTGCCTCAGTTTCCCCATCTATAGCAGCAGGGATATTATTAATGCCCAGCATCCCTATTCGATGGGCAAGCAAGCATCTGCAATTGGACTCAAAGTATGGTAAACAGTTGACACAGGAGAAAACAATCCAGACTGGTGGTTCTCCAAAAGAAGACTGCAGCTTTGGCAATGCAGATGACAGTTATGTCTCACCTCCTCTGCGGGCTATTCAGCCAGCCAAGACCTATTTAACGGACTTCTGGTATGTGTCTTCCCTTGAGGCTAATTCTGTACGGAAGGAGACAGAATGCTGATGTACTGCATGAGGAACAACCTTTTTCCAGCTCAATACTTTTGTATTTAATTAAAAAAAAAAAATAATAAATCTCCCTGCCTTCCTGCCCCAGAATACTCTAATAAGACCTGAAGAGTTCTCAAAAATGTAAAAGTATCACTCAGTTGTTTCATTCCTCATGGAGATTGCTATCAGACACACTCCCTAACCAGCAAATGATGAAAAGGCAGCTGTGATGAAAACAGCCTCCTAAAACAGTTCAGACATACAGACAGCAGTGTTTCAGCTTTCACTTAAAAACTATTTCTTCTAATCCCAGGCTACTAAAGATGATGGAGAAAGATCATCAAATGGGCAGTTGGTGTTAACAGGACTGAACAGCCTGGAAATGCTGAAGGTGCTGCCTGGAAGTAGAAACAAATAATTTAAAAAATTAAAAAAAAAAAATTGCCGCATTAAAATTTAAGCTATCCCTAAGAGAATCAAAGATCCTTTTCATTCCTTTCAGTCCAGGGACCATCTATCTAAATGTTACCAGTGGAGCAGCCATTCCACTGCATTTAATACACTCACATGCCACAGCCGAATGCCATGTCCCCATTTACTCTTTAAATAACTATTAATCTCCTTGCACTTATCCTCGCTCTGACATAAGCAGCTGTTGGACTCCCTTTCTCCCCCTCCAAGTCCCACCAGCCTGGCCTCTTGCTCCCCTCCCCAGGCAGGTGACAAAGCCAGCCGCCGGGTTTGCACACACACGAGCACTAACCCTCATCTCGAAGCTATGCCCCAAGGCAGGGGGAGAGTTGTTTGCGCTCAAGGGGTCAACATCTGAATTGCTTGCAAGGCTTTTGGAGGAATCAGATAAGGCTTTTGGAGGCACACGCCTTCTGACAACACAACAATTAGAGGGGCAGCAGGCCCGGCAAAGGCGTGCGCAGGAATTCGCCGGCTGCAATAAAACCCCTCGCCCCAGCCACACTGCGGATGGCGAGAACAAAGAGAACAAGGAGCTGCGGGCACGTCTGCAAGGCATTGCTCTCCAAGAGGGGTCTGCAGGGTGTGTGCACTCACAGCCTCCTTTCACCATTTACAGAAAGAAACACAACAGCATTTAATTCAAAGTCAATTCTCAACAGGCTGGCAGCCCAGAATTTAGCACATGCTCATGTTCTGCTGTGGTGTTGTTTAAACAACTGCAGGATGTAATCCCACCACCAATTTCTGGCAGAAGGAAAACGCAATTTAGTGAAGAGAAATGCACGCAAAGCTGAGAGAAAAGACTAATTTTCAGTGCCTTTGTTCTCACCATCAAGTTTCTGAAACTTGTTAGTATCATTGAGGCATTACAGAAACCTTCAGGCAAGCTTAACTGCAAATTATTAGAGAGCTACAATTAGATCGAAGACTATGTATTTTGGAACATTGTTTCAAAAAAAAAGAAAAAAAAAAGAAAAAAACCCACTATCTTGAGCTTTCAGTTTCTCTTCCTACATCTGATCAGCTTCACTTTCAGGTTTTCATACTAATTCACAATTCTAGATTGGGAAAATCATGGTTTCACTGGAGAGCCTGCTGAATTAAAACGCAGACTGAAAACTGCACAATTGTTTAATCATGGTTCTGCTGCTGGGAAGACAGATCTCCCTAACTAATGTGGTGGACAAGAAGAAATCCTCCTGACCCCAGAGGCACTGGGTCATTTGCCACAAGAGGGCAATACAAATGCTCCATCATGCACGTAGGTTCTGATGTGCCAGGGAAGACTCCCCAACCCACTCAAGTTGGGGCCCTTCTTTTCCTGCCCTTTAGCAAAAGCTCAACCCAGTTCTTTGGTCACAGCCCGC